AGGGCCGCAGCTAGCCCCTCATCATTACAGTTGTATTTAGTGTAGCATACTGGGTGAACAAACATTGTGCACCATCTGGACAGCATTTGAGATACGGTATCATATTTTGAAATAACTGGACTTTACTGTGACTGTTTTTTCTCATAGTTACCCTTAATGCTTTAAAAATAGGACTAGATTTGTTTCATTAGTTATAAAAGTACACCAATACCAGTCTCTATATTGGACTCTAACATCAGTATCAAATATTAGTAACAAGCTTAGGTATCGACCTCCAATATCAGTATCAAGGTGGGTATCCAGTGTCAGTGTTAAGTATCTGTGTAAAGCATTGTATCAATCAAGTATCTGAGCACTCAGAATTAGTATCGAGAAGGCAAAACGGTATCAGAACATGCAACAAAAATTGCAAAGCTTTGCAGAAAAAAAAGAGATTAACACGTTACAATGATACAAACTATAAAGGGAGGAGATTAAAGATGCTGCGTAACTTGTTCCAGCTGACTGACCCGCCACGGTGCCCCTTACTCCCTTAATTAGCATATCTAATTAAGCATTCGGGGCTGAGAGTTGAAGCCGCTTAGGACTAAAGTAGTAGGAACTGTGGGCATGACAGTGACCAGGCGTCGAGACCTCATTGGCAGTCTAAGAGCTACGCAACACGGCGGCGTCTCGACATACGAACACTAGCGGGGGAGTTGGAGGGCTTCAGAGCAGCGCAGACAATGAATCTCAATCCTGAGGCCGTGGCAGATTTACATTTAAAGTAGTTTTAGCGAACGGCCCACTTCCTGATGCATTCTTTGGCAGGGGCTGAAGGGAGCAGCTTATCTGCGAGTCATCAATTGCACGTGATGCGTCCAGATAGGAGCACCCGACGCCACGCCACGCCAGCACCTTTCCGCTCACACATCCTGCTCAAACATGATGTGCTATCTAATAGAGCGCCGTTGCTTGAACTATAATTACATTACACGTGGAAACACCTCTGCTCGCCGCCCAACACCTCCAGTGTATGTGTGTGTGTTTGCACGTCCACATGTGTTTTAACACGCGTGACCTATGTTTTATCTGTGATTGACAGAAGCCGTAATGACCAGCATCAGTGTATTATTGATGTTCTGTCACACTTCTTGCTATTAATGTTGTCCCGAGATGGAGCAACAGGGTGACCAGAAACTTGGTGTGTTTGTGCGTGTGTGCGTGATGCATGTGTGCGCACACAAACACACATGCTCAGGGGCATATTTGCGCCTCATATTTATACTTAATGGGGTTGGTGTGTGTGCCACCGAAAGGAGATGTGTGTTTGTGAGTGTGTAGATATGTTTGGAGGAGCAGTAGGTGTGAGTGTGGTTGTTGACACAGTGGGGTAAAGGCTGTGATGGCTGAAGGCTCTGATGGGTAATTGAGAACAGCAGGTGTTGCCTCCCTCCTGAGCCACTTCAGGCCCCAACCAGCTCGCCCTCCGATCTTCAAAGCCTCTCAGGCCCAACTCTCCTTCCCTCTCTTCTCCTCTCCGCTGCTCTCCTCCATCCTTCCCTCCTTTTCTCCATCCTCCTTTCTTCTTTTCTTCTATCCTCCTTCCTCCTCTCTCCTCTGCTCCTCGCCTCTCCTCCTGGCTGCACTGAGCTTGCTGGGGAGAAAAACAGCATGTATGGTATTAATCAAACCCAGGGCATCATGGGGAATTGGACAGAGTGTGGAAAGGGGAGAGAGAGGCTAGAGCCCAGCTATTACTGCTACACCGGTCCACCAAGACGGAAATATTTCATTCCCTTTAACTCTTTTACAAGAGAACATCCTGCAGCACTGAATTGTTACTGTAAAAAAAGGCTTAAAAAACAATTATAGTGTTATACTCTTGTCTTACTCCTGAGTACACTTAAAACAGTTGAGTACTTTGGGTCAGGTAATTGAGTAATCGCGTATTTTTTGTGCAATACACATTCAAGAGTCGTGCACTTTTTGTTTTTCAATTCAATGAATGGCTTGGAGTTGCTAAAAACATGTATGCACTAACAGAATAAACCTGTTTGTGTTCTGCAAAAATGTGTGGTTATTAAAATCAGAAGACTCCAGAAATCCTCTGATGTTTTTTCAGATTTTCGGCTTTCGTGATGATTCACCAGTTTGGTGGTTTCTCCCCACTGATCTCTGCTGGAACAGGAATAACTCTCACACTCAAACAGATTTATCTCTCTCTTTCTCTGTCTATTTTAGCCGCCTCTTTCTTGGCTTTCTTCCTTTCTTAGTGCTCATGAGCCCTTAGACAGTCAAGCTGAGCCTGTGAGCGATATTTTGCCTGTGTGCGCTCCAGGCCTCCCCTGCTCTTGCTTTGTTGCCTTGCTGAACACGTCACCAGCCTCATAAACCCCCCACCCTCTCCTGACTTTTCACAAATGAACAAATCTGATTGAGCGAATGCCATTACCTGAGTAAATGAATGATTCCTAAAGGACTGGACATGGCCTAACAACCACCCTGAGGGTAAAGCTTATTATCGCAGCAAACTCCAAAGAGGAGAGAAAGCAGCTGTGGAGCGTGTGTGCACTTTGTCAGAAGAAGCCTGTATTTCCATTTTAATCTGCCACATTTAGGCTTCAGAGACAGAGGGCCTCCTGTCACGCTTCTTTGATAACAGAGCAGTTAGCTTTTCCCCCTCATGTATAAATATGTATAATTCTGATAAGATTAATTGGAGCGCCTAAGTATACAGCGGAAGAAATGAGTTGGAGAGAGGGGAAGGAGAGGGAGACAGCAGGAGGGAGAGGAGACACATTATGTTGCCAAAGCATGCATTTTATACAGGCCTCTGCCTCAGACCTACTCCAGGGTGCCTCTGCTCCCTCCTCCAAGCCCAAAGCGCCTTGAATTGAAAATAGCATCTACCTAACAGTCTCTCAAAAATAGCTGAGCGAATAAGTTTTTGCGCCGAGCCGATAAATACGCCGTGGAGCCTCTGACACCGACGCCTCACCCCAATTTCCAGTGCTCCGGAGGAGATCAGATAGCCCCGTGTCATTTGATTTTCTGCCTTATCTCATCCGCGCCCATCTTTTTGTCTCAAGCAGAGCTACATTTTAAGAAGCACGCACTCCTTGTATCTTTTGAAGGACAAAACCCGAAATGATATCGAAACAAATAATAGGATCACACAGTTAGAGAGGGGCATTTCGGCGCCTGTTTGATTGAAACCCAGTGCTGATGTAGGCGTGTCAAATGAGCGTCCTTCAGGTGACATTCGGGATGCAAATGTGTATAAGTACACGTTGAGATTGCAGCACTCTGCAAAGTTGTTAGAACATGAGTGTCATTTATGATCACGCCTCATCAATTGGTGACATTACAGTTGCTGTAAACTAGAACACAATTTATACTTCTTGTAGCAGTTTCACTTTTCGAACTGACCAATAAAAATGTCTCTTAAATAGTTGTTTTCTGCAAAGTATGCGGCGTATTCCGAGAGTGAGGAGAAGACAGCAGGAGAGAGGGCGGTGTGGGAGAATAGAGGTGAGAGATCGTGAAACAGATGAAACAAGAGGGAGAGAAGAAAAGGCAAAATCCGAATCGGAGAGAGAGGGAGGAGACAAAGTATCCCCTGATGCACAGCTCGAGTTGACTGACGGCAAGAAGAGAGAGGAAAGGAGGAGGAAAGGGAGGAAGGGAGATCAAGAAGGAGTTTGTACACTAGTGTGTGAGTGGCGTCTCTCATTAGAAGGTGCTGTCAGGGGCCACAGAGGGGGGACTGCAGGGACCCCGTCTCCATCCTTTCTCCTCCCTCTACACTGGCCCTTGAGATCCCAGGCTGGGAAAATGATTGATGAGTGATACCAAGATAAACACGCGGCCTGGCCCCCAAAGGCAGCCGCTGCAAAATGATGCATGCAGCGTTATAAATAAACCTTGTTAAAAAAAATTACAATAAACAACTAAACAGTGCAAAACAATTGTTTCTTTTTTTTTTTTTTTCTCACAGAAGACACAAATCAACTCGGCTTTTGTTCTTTGCTTTGATGAGAGTGTTCCTGTTTTTTGTTTTTTTTGTTTTTTTGTGTTCATGAATTTGTGTATGCGTATGTGAGCAGTGAGCACAAGGCTAACAAGGCTCACCGACTGAATGTTTCATCGTCTCCGCAGCAGCTTGGCCAGGCGGCTTTCCCACACTTTCACTGTGATGCTTCAAACGCTGATGAGAACCCGTTTTCATTTGGGAGGGCTCCAAACCATCACAGCTGTGTGAATTTAGTGTGTTTGTCTGTTGGTGCACTGGAAAAAAAAGAAGTGTGAAACTGATGCACATTTTGGCATAAGGAATTTAAGGCCACTCAACAATACACGCACATACAAACAAAAACTATGTTCAAGCACCATCCTATTGTGGAGTAAGTCATACATTTTTGATGGCACACTTTCTGTTAATGCTTAACACTGAACGCCCGAATGCCTCTATTACATATCGAAGTGGAAAGGCAGATTATCATCAAATAGTTACATTATATCATTATGAGTCCACAGGCTGTGGTCTGGTGGAGTGAGAATGAATTATGAATGGAGAGTGAGGGACGATCTTATTCTCCCCCCAAGGGACCTCCAACACCACAACTCATTTAAGTTGGATGAATGAGAGATAAGAAAGGAACCCCCCCCCTCCACCATTCTGCTTGCCTCACACTCTGGCCTTCATGTAATTTACTCTGTGAGGAGTGTCAATTAGCTGCACACACTTCTCACCGGAGGAAATGTATGCTGAAGGGTGCTTTGTTCATTGTCAAACTCTGCATAGCAATGGTGAAAACACCCGTAAGAAGTCTTGTCATATTAGTCGCTGGTGCTTTCTTCCGCCGCGTCGGGCCTCTTTGTACATCTTTAAAATAAATCCCCTAGCTGTGATGCAACAGTGCCAAAAAAATATATTTTCTCATTTTAACTCTTTTTTTTCCCTCCTTCTTTCTCTCTTTCACCCTCTGTCTGTCCTTTGTCCTTTCTGTGGATTCCAGGCCACAGAATGGGTCGATGATATTGTACAACAGGAAGAAGGTGAAGTACAGAAAAGATGGCTACTGCTGGAAGAAGAGGAAAGACGGGAAGACCACGCGGGAGGATCACATGAAGCTGAAAGTACAGGGAGTTGAGGTGAGTGCGAGGCTTTGGATTCAGAGGGAGTGAACGAGAGAAAGAGGCGGGTTGAAGGTGTGGTGAGAGCCAGCCTTCACCCTGACACAGACGAACACAGTGAGCTCTCCCCTGGCTGTAATGGAGACAGTCACATGCTACAGACGGCCCTGTGTCTCCAAGGAGACTTACCGAGAAACAATGCGGCACAACAATAGTTTTCCCTTGGAAGCCAGTGGAGTGGAACCGATTGTTTGTACCTTATTAAGGCGCTGGATGTTGCCTTTGCTCCAGAGAGCCTACATTAATCTTGCTTGCTCACAGCAGTGCTGAGAAGCTAGCGTTCCCTTACCCCTCTCCAAGTCGATCCCCATGCCAGCTGGTGCCATAAAAGGCCCGGTTCTATCTATCCTTGGTTAACCCGGGCTCAATCTTGCTTGACCTTAGGTGTTGGGAAAATAGTGTTGGCACCATGGCTTATATAGCAACAGTTCCAAAAAAAATAATACCAGGCTAGGGCTAGCCCTTGACTTGTTCACTTCCATTACTTTCAGATGTGCCCAAGTTTGGGTTCAGCTCTCTTTCACACAGGAGTTAAGATAGAGTACAGGTGGAGATGTGAAGGTGGGAGATTTTCACTTCTCTTTTGTGTGTGTGCACATGTACACATAGCCACACACCTCAGGGAGTGTTGCTGTGAGTCTGTGTCACACAGTGTGACAAAGACAAAGCTCAGGCATTCTCCCAACAGGGGCTCTGCACTCTGTTTGTACTCCTGCAGATATTTGTCACTCCAAGAAAATGGCCTCTTCCTTCGCCCCGCCAGCTCAGTGTCATCTCGGGTCCTGCAGAGGCCTGATAACCTGTTGGGACTACATGCATCCATCGTTTTAGACTGTTACATATTTTATTTCAGTTTCTGACAGCCCTGGCTTTTCAGAAGGTTAAGTCAGCTTACTTTTCACTGATAAAGTTAAAATTAACAAATAAAAAGACAATGCATTGTCGGGATTCACAACTTTGTGCAATGCAAGTTTAAATGATGCACATTTGCACTTAAAATTCACATTGGCAAATGCAGCGCATCCAGGTGGAATCCGTCCAGAATGTGTGTGTTACAGCAATACAGGAGTATATTAAAATGCAGTTTTCTCCCTGGTCAATTTGAAAGCCCTGTATTTAATGTTAAAGCAGCAAGAAAGGGAAATTGTTTTAACTTTTGAGGGAAGTTTCCTCTTAACAACAGTTCTCTCAAAAGCTGCACACACTGCTATGTTGATGGCCTTTTGACCTATCTTCAACTCTTACCAGGTTGCACCACCATTGCACATTTTTTTGATATGCTTCCTCCATCAATAAATAAAGATGGCACCATGACTGACTCAAACTATCCCTCCAAGGGGAAGCCTGGGACATTGTTGTGTTGTATGGAAGGAACTGGCTAAGCTGGCTCTTCTCTGAATCCTGGCTGGCACTTGTATTGCAATAGCTAACTTTTCCCCCAAGACCTGATCTTAAGCATATATACAAAATCTAAATAGATGTCAAGTAAAGTTTCTCCCTAAAACTTTCTTCCTTCCATTTTCTGCAACATAATCAAGGCCCAGTTGAGCTCACATACTGTGGCAGCACTGCCCCCTACAGTGAACTGTACTGTATGCCACTGTCCTATTTTCCAGCATCAATGCTGGTCAATGTTCCAGAAATGAAGCCGTTTTTATTTAGCGCTACTCTCTGAACAGGCACAGCTACTGAATCACAGCTACTTCTCCTGTCCAGTATTCTTCTGTGGTCGTGTACCTGTCACAGTGGACGAGGAGAAACATACTGTTACGGGATATAAAAATACCCAGACCTCTGTGACCAACAGTCCCAGCTTTTTAAGAATAACATTTTCAAAAGAAGACATTTCCTGGCAAGCGAGGGCTGAAGAGATTTGCTGTTGAGGTGAGAAAACGTAACAAAAAAGCACAAAAGTGTCTTGAATCCAGGGCAGCACCAAAGATTCAATTTCTACGCTACACTCTGTGCTGTGTGTTGTGTGTGGCCCTGTTGACTTGCAAGGATGTTTCCAAGTGTGCTAGGGGCGTCAAATCACACACGTGATGCATTGCTGCACCATTGTTGCGGTTCCGTTTGAATATCCGCAGAAAGGAAATACTGTAGGAGCAACGCATGCTGTAAACTGTGGCGGATTTTCTGTATTGTATAGTCATTCAATGTTTATACAGACGTAGTTCATTTTTAGATTCTTCAAGTCTTCATATTTGCATGCAGTGCGCTGTATGCAACACTTTAAGATAAAGGTTTTTTTATTTAAATATAGAATTTCAAGGGTGGCGCAGTGGTTAGTGCGCACGTCCATGTATGGAGGCTTTGGTCTTCCAAGCGAGCGGCCCAGGTTCGAATCCAACCTGTGGCTCCTTTCCCGCATGTCAATCCCCACACTCTCTCTCTCCCTGATTTCCAACTCTATCCACCATCCTATCTCTCCAATAAAGGTACAAAAGCCCAAAAATAAATCTTAAAAAAAAAAATATATATATAGAAATTCAAGAGTTATTAACATAAAGTTTGATTGCTTTTGATTTTGCTCTGTGGGCTTCTAGTGTATATCCTAAAATCAGTCTTCTTGACCAGAGCTAATAGCAACAACTACAGACCCAGTGCCAGACATAAAGGGAAGCTTTGTGACGAACGAGAGCGCAGGAAGAAACTGACTTAGGTTTTCAAGGCCACAAGAGAGCTCGTAGAAATTGGACATTAACCGCCATTTGAAACACACACATGAAACTCATGCTCAGTGTACAGTGTTGTGTGTTTTTTTTTTTTTTTACCTTCACATTCACACTTTGCAGCCTTGGAAGACCTGAGTCATGTCCTTCCTCAACCTCAACCCCTCAAGACTGACGGAGAGAGGTGATCCATCACAGCTGTAACCAGCCTTTGATGGGATCCACGGCCCATCATGCACTGTGATGTTTACTGTAAGCACATAAAAATGACTTAAGCTTTGCCTTCTGTTGAGTGAAAGTACAAGACCTCAGGAGAGGATGGAGAGCTATCTGTTTCTGCGTACTGCTCTATTTAGAAAGAGAAAGATCCATTTAAATACATAATTTATATCATGGCTTCAAACACTGAGTTGACATAACTTGTGCATAACCTCCCTTGTTTTACAGCGGATTCTTTACATCACTCACGCTGTGCTGTAGCTGCTCTGATTCCCTAGCTATCCAGTGCTTAATAGGGGTTCTGTAGTTATTACATGGGCCAGGTTTAGTGCACAGAGAGGACAAGTGTTATGGCTGGTTTCAGGCTAGTGATGTTCAGTGGCTCCGGGGAGGGTGAGGCAGGGAGTCCAAGAGTGAGGGGGCCCTTTGGGGCCTGCGAGAGGCAGCCTAGCGTGGCAGGAGTAGATGTCAGCGTGTGCTGCTGCTGTCCTGTCTGCTCCGCAGTGCTGGCTCAGCAGCCCGTGTAAACCGAGGCTCTACGCTTTTTCTCCTTCCCTTTCTCTATCGCTACCTTTCCCCCGTTGTGTTTCATTTTCTCTCTTTCAATAAATTAATTCTGCCACTAGATATTTCATTGTCTTGCCCTGCTCTCACCTCTTTTCTCCATTCTGCCCTTTCCCCCCCTCCCCCCCCCCCCCCTCGTCTACCTTCCAAGTCCACAGTCCAGACGGACAGAACCTTGAGTTGGGCGGTAATGCTCCCTGTTCCCTAAAATTGGAGCGCAGGGCATGTTGCGGCATTAGCGCTTAACAGGCCGTGAAATAGCAGCCTGCCTTCCTGACGTCTCCCCCATCACTCCAGGTGAGCTGGCCAGACGGCTGGATAAATGAGCAGGCAGCACCCCCAGCAACCAGCATGCTTTTGGGGCACCCTGAGAAGAGATGTCCATCAGTGATTATCTCACTATACAGCAGCTCCTGGTGATGTTCAAACTTCCTGGGGGGGGATCCTTGCAACTCTGAGGAAGTCCAGTTGCCTGCTATCAATGAGAATCCTCTGTGTTTTGGTTGCGATGTCATCTTCATTCAGCTGTAGGTCTCATAGTGTGCACATATCTCGAGCATCCCCTTACTGTGAAATAGCAGAGCCCCTAAACACGTTTGCGTTTACAAACTCCATCTGATCACCGCTCTGCTTCTTGTCAAGCTTCTACCCCAAAGTTATCACCACTTCTTATCTGATTAGCTGTTAATGTCTGCTCAACCCCCCCATCTCCTCCGCTTCTCCACCCCTTCTTTCCCTTCTCCCCATTATTCCTAAGCTTTAATAAACTCCCTCAAACGCGGATCGATTTTCTCTTAAGTGAAGGTGGCAGTGCCTCTGACTTATTTCATTACCACAGGCTAATTATACCGATTGAAATGAGCTTCTCTTCTTAAGGTGTGCTGTGCTGCTCTGCGGCCCCACGCTCCCTCCCACTTTAATGCCAATACAGTTCTCAACGTATTCTCCAACTCCCATTCAAGCCTCAGCTCCACCCCGCCATCCCTTCACCCAGCCCTCTCACCCTCCACCTCCTAAATAATCAGCTGGGGCGTCCTTAGCTCCCGTAACTTGTCATTTCATGTTGGATCCACCCTAATGTGTGATTTCAACTGTGCAACTGTGCAATGAAGGAAGGTAATGGAGCATGCTGGTGGCTCAATCGCCTCTGTTCATTGATAATAATGAAGACAAATGTCAAAACATTAGTTGCTAATGTTGTAATGGAGTGGATGCTAGCGGATGCACGCTGGATGCTACACTGCATTGGCTTTCAATATCACATGACCTTCAACATTTAACTCCTCGTTTACTACTAGTCTAATCCTTCCTTTTACAGCAAATTAAACATTTTTGCCCAGCCAAGCTGAAATCTAATGGCTTTCTTTGGGCACTGTTCCCTTTTTTTTTTAACACGTTTTTACAAGTGAAAACATGGTTTGAAAAACTAACATGCCACAACAGGAGTAGACGGGTTGCTTCCGTAAGTTATAATCAAACTAGCTGCGTATCTGTGAAATAGAG